GTTTCCCAAAAAATATTTGGCAGCACAACTGTTGATAATTCTAATAATAAATCAGCATATTAGAATGATTTCTTAAGGATCATGTGACACTTTATACTGGAGTAATGGCTGATGGAAATTCAGCTTTGCATTACAGAAATAAATTATATTTTAAAGTATATTAAAATAGAAACCATTATTTTATATTGTAATAACATTTTACACGATTACTGTTTTTTTCTGTATTTTTGATCAAATAAATGCAGCCTTGATGAGCATAAGAGATTTCTTTAAAAAACATTACAAGTACTGATCCCAACAAGTACTTACAAGTACTTACTGATCCCAAACTTTTGACCGGTAGTGTATATATATATATGATTTTTTTTTTTTTAATTACAATTAAAAACAGTTTTAATTTATTATACAATGACTCACTCATTACTGGGTGAATCAGCAGTTTTGAAGGAATCTCTTGAATGAATGATTCAATAAATTCATTTTTAACAGTCAATTGTCGCCACCTACTGGCCTAACGATGTAATGATACAATATGTATTTGAAGCGTTAGGTTTCTTTCAAAAGGGGATTTACTCTATTTTTATTGCTACCATAGACAGCAGTGTTTACATCATAACTATATACTTTTATCCCAGAACTTCTGTGATCATTTGAATTTTTGTAACAGAAATAATGACACTGTGTAGTTGAAAAGACTGAAGCCTATAAAGTGACAACATGATTTGAATGTTCCAGCATGATTGTATGCGTCAAAGGTTTAATAGACATAGCTGAATTGTTGTCATTTAGGAATGAGATTGCATAGGTGTTTAAATCAAGATCACTGTCTTTTAACAATTATTCGTGCAGCTCTACTTTTAAAAATGCTAACTATTTTACTCGTGAATTACTACACTTGCAGTGTAGTGACATCAACATATAGTAAAGTACTGTTTGAAACATTTATTGGTTCATACCGCATATTCCACATACTTAAAAAAATAGTATACAGTATATACTGTGCAGTACACTAGCATTCTATTCCAAACATTACACACACACACACACACACACACATACATACACACACACACACA